TCTGTGATTCTGTGATTCTGTGTGAAACAAACTTGTTGCCTTTTTAAGGCTCATTTATGGTCTTACAGTTTTGATTACACCCTAAGTTATGATTTATTAGTATTGTAAAGGGAGAAAAACTGTTTAGTAAAGCTATCAGAAAGTTCATTTGGTAAAATAAGCATTTTTCGTTTATTTGCTGCTTTCATGTTATCTTTTCCTTTAATATTTAGCTGTGTAAATGCATATTTATAATTTTTGGTGTTCTACTTGGTACCCCTTCTTCTCCGTTGGAAAGTGGTAAGAAAGAGGCCAAAAAAAGAAACAGAGGAAGAGCACTTCTTCTCTAATATTTTTTTTTCTTTAAAAGCTAAATATCAACAGAAAATTGATCTGAAATAAAGTGCAAGTAGTGTAGTATCGGGGAGGACCAAAAGACCTATGGAAGAAGCTAAAGAAATATCATGGAATTGGCTGGGAGACAATGAGCAGGAAAGTACAAATAAGCATGAATTAAAACTTTGTAACAGAAAAGGTTATTGACATATTGCCACAGGGCATCAGCTTGATAGGTTCAAAATAGGATTTGACATCCACAAGCATGCTAGACATTGTCTTAATTGTAAAACTGAACATTTGGGCTGATAGTAAATCTTGTATGTCAATGCTTGTTGGTTTCTAGCTGCTGGGGGGTAACAGACTTACAGGGAAATTATTCTACAGCAGTGTGCAGAGCAGTTTTTAAATGCCTGTTCCCGAGTGCCATTGGACACAGTGTGAGACTGGACCCCACAATGCAGTAATAAGATAAAGTATGACTATTGTTGTGTTCCTTGAAGATTTGTCTATGGCTCATTTTTTGGATAATTTGCATGAGAAGCATTTATGAGGCCTGGCTTTCTAAAGGTCCTAGGCACTGCACATTGTCACAAAACCATATTATCTATCAGAATCACATACTTTAGTAATGCAAATACATGCATAAAATAATACTTGGAACAGTTCACTCATAAACAGGCTTTGGAAATCTGTGAGGGAAGTTACTGTAGTGGCAGAAGTTAGAAGACCAAAAATCAAATAATAAAACTTACTCTAGAACTCAAGTCTTGCATGGCGTGTTCCAGGCTTCAGTTTATATTAATGGGGACGTATAATGGAAATGCTGACTGATTCTGAACTACCATGATGGTAACAGGCATATAATTGCTATAATTAGGCATGCATCTGAGTAGACAGTGTAATATGATTGCCGTGTTTATACCCTGTGCTGGAAGGAATGTTTTTTAATCTACACAATCCTTTAAAATGAGTTGGGGAGCAAAAGTTTGTGGAAAAATAATGCTGAGGTTTATTGTTTCATATTCAGGCTGATGTCCACATATGTCAAAAGACAACAAATACTTGCAAGATACTGGATAACTCTGGTTAACTACATAAAATGTTGTTATCTCAAAATTGATAAAGAAACATCAGAATTTACCTGAAAACATCAGAGTCTGTACAATTCAACAGGAGAAAACATGCAAAAAATTTTCTAACTTTATATAAAAAGCAGAACATGGTTGAAATAGTTTGTATTTCCATAAGAACCTTAGTTTCCTCCTTTTTTAGGCATTTAAAATCTCCAGTCAAGAAGTCTTTTTCTCCTATTTTCTTTTTTTTGCTGCTAAACTACTGTTTCTATTGTAATTTCAGAGGTCAGAGCCCGGCTGTTGCTGAATTTAACTTGCTCCTGAAAGCATATTCTTTGGAAACTTATGGTGTTGATCCTCATCCTTGCAAGGTAACAGTTCTTTTTACTAACATCTAATAAAATGGTTTTTTTACTAACATTTAGTAAAAAAAAAATTAATTGAGTTGATTTAGCTATGTTTTTTAGATAGGGAGTAATATGTGAAAGAATTTGTCATAGAACTGCGTATTACATTTAAGCCTTGGAAGAGCATTGACTGTCTGACATTTCTGCTTCAGTCAAAGGAAAAGTCTCTCCAGAGGAGGCAGAGCATCATAGGATAATGTAGTAGAGTGTCACGACAAAAGCTTTGATTGTACTTCAGAATTTCTTTGCATTTAATGCAAGAGTTTCTCTAAGAACTCCATGTGTTTGACAAGATTTTTAGGATTCAGCATTGTTCTGTCCACAAGATGCAATAAATTGTTAGTCCTTGACAGACTCATTTTTCAAACACCATCAGAATATGCAAATCTTAGGAAAAACTGCAAATCAAATGTACAGAGAGAACTGGATATGTGTTTGTGTATTCCCCCGCTTTGCTTTTTTGTGGTTCTCTATAAGAAGGCGATTTTCATTACCAGTGCTGATTATCCCTTACCCCTGTATTTTTAATTATTTGGTTTTATCTGCATAATCTGCAGTTTCTTTTTAGTGCTCCTCTGTGTTGTAACTGCTGTTTTTACTTTGGTTTCTATACCATCTCATTTGGTGGAACAGCAGTTGTCCAGTTAGCTGTTCTGGTGGTGAGTGGTTTTAAGCAGTCAGCTAGGAATGGTGCTCTTGCATGACTTACAGGGTCTGGTTCAGAGCTCAGTGAAGTCAATGACTTCCAACTTTAGTTGGACACTATACTGCAGATTTTCAGAGGGCATCCCAGAGGCTTATGTTGCCACTTAGTACATAGCCAAAATTGGCTCAGAATTTCCTCTTTCCCAGTGCAGCAGGGCTTGTAGTGTGGGGACATGCAGAGGTTAGCAGCCCATGCTTAAGGAAAACTTTTTGGTCTTCTGGAAATGAACTGCAAAGCAAGGTGCTTCTCTGGCTCCTTATGTCATGCTCCCTCCAATGCTGTGGCTGGTATTTCAGAAGCATCACTGTTTGTGTTTCCCTTATTTTATTGGTGGAACATAAGGCACAATAAATTTGACTAACTTTAACAAGCTGAGGGTCTGGAACTCGGAATGGACAGGAAATCCAGTCAGTACAAAACTCACCTGAATCACTGCTCAAAAACTGTCAGTCAGAACTTTTATTGTGGAATTAAGTATTTTAAAAATGGTCTTTCCTACTTGAAAGGCAAGTATCACCGTATGTTCTGGTTTGTACTCGAGTGCTTGATTATTGTAGTAAAAGCTCCCTGTCAGCAGTACTTCCAACAACGTCTCACAGAAGAACAACATATTGTGAAATCGTAAAAAATACAAGTGTTGAAGCAGATATGAAACTCTAGTTTGTAGTTAGTCCGCACATTAAGAATGAGATATACACAGAAATATGTTATTAGCAGTATTAGTAAGTATACCTAAGGATTCTCCATTGCCATCAGCTACAGTGTACGATGCTGTTACTCATTTAAGTGCCTAGAAGTAAATATGGTCTGTATTTCCAAGAGCAGTCTTTGTTCTTCAGAACATTTTGAAGGCAAAATTTATTTTGAAAAGGAAAACAAAATAGAGATAATCCATAGTGGAGTATTATTTTATGCTGTGAGTAAGAAATACCATACTGGATGAGGGGAAATTTATATTTATTTTTTCTCTTTCAAGGACACAATGGGAATGACTACATTTTTAGGATTCACAGCTGCAGGATTTGTAGTTTTCCAGGGGAATAAAAGAACTCATTTGTTAAAATGGTAAGCATGTGAAGTAAGAGTAGATTAAAATGCAAGAGTCTTTTCTCCTATGTCTTCCCTTCTCCGTAATATCTTCACCTGCATTTATTGTTTTTAAGGTGAACCATGTGAAGATTCCTTCTCTTGTCCCATCATATTTCTGTTTTGAAGGATCTTAGCAAGAAGTAGAATAATAATAATTTGGTCTTGTTCTTCCTCCAATGACAATTATTCTACAGGCTGCATTAGTCAACATTATGCACAAATGCTAAAATTGTTTAAGTTAAATTTTCAACCAGTGAGACTTACTGGCAGAAAGGTCTGGAAGAGTTTACAGGAGCCCACCTGCATCTTTATTTGAGTCTTGGAAATGTTTTTTTAACCTCAATTTGAAAACTATAGAAGAACTTACTTGGTAAGCAGAGGAGGACGTGAGAACACCCTTGAATATTTAGTTTTTAGCCACTTCTTTTAAGAAGCACAGAATTATGCAATTATCCCTGGTTTGTCTGGCTTTGGTTTTCTTTTCTGCTCCTGTAAAACATGTGACTTAATTGGACAGCCTCAGCTATGTTTGAGGGAGAGGTAAAACCAAGCTCTTGCAGGTAATGTAACAGAAGCTGGACATGCCCTCAGCAACGTGGTGCGGAGTGTGTGCCGTCATGCTCAGATGTCGATAAACTTTGCTTTAACACTAAACAGATGCCAACAGCAGTTACATTGAAGAAATTTTTTGTGTAGAGCTGGACTCTACTGCATATCCATAGAAATCTCCCCAATAGCTGACCAACCTGAAATCGTCAGAAGTGTAGAGTCAGTGTAGTCCTGTCTGCATGATTCAGTTCCCTGTGGAGCTCTGGGGGCATGTCTGTCAGGTACCATCCATTTTTGATCCTGGATTTGTGCTGTAGTTTCCCTGGGGTTAATTTCAGGTATCCCTAGTCTCAATGCTTTGGTGGTTTGTGCTTTTGGCATAGGGGCAGTGTAACTGTCCTGTCAGTCTATGGTGCAGGGAGGAGAGAATAGCATGTTCCAAACATGTATCTACCATACTGTGGGAGATGAGCTTTGCAGCACTTAGTTTTTCATGCTACTCAAGGGTAACGTGTTCTTTCAGAGATCTTGGTGTATTCATTTAGTTCACTGGCACATAAACCAGATACAAAATGAAACAGTGATAGAGGAAAAGCCATTAAGCTGTCTCAGTGTTATGCTGGCCGTGGGAAGGTTGATCTGCTGAGCTTTATCTGAACAACCATGTACTGCTCCTTTCATTTCTGAAACATAGAAGTGAGTGCTAGAAGCTTCAACTGATCGTAGCTGAAATTTGCACTACACAGTAAAAATCCAAATTAATAATTGAGATTTTCTTTTCAATGGAAAAGCTTTCTCAGCTGGAATGATATGTTGTTGTTGTTTTTTAATGTAAAAGCAAAACTCCTGTTGTAAAGTTTCAGGGATAACGTTGGCCTTGCCTCCTGAATTGTTTCCATTTCAACCATCTGACATACAAAAAGTTTAGAGAAGTTACAAAAAACCTACAGTGTTTCCATTATAACTGTCTAATGACAAAATTTCCATTACAATTTAAGTAGAGGCATACTATTGCCTTTATATGGTGCATTCTATATGTAAGTTGTGCTTTAAATTTTGATGTGGTTTTGCAACTCACAGTGCCCCAGTAATAAGTGCCGTCAAACACTTTCTTCTTCTTCCTGTTGTGTTCTGTGTGTAAGTAGTCAGTTACTAAGATATGTAATAAGAAATCACAAATAAGTAAGAATAGAGATAAGAGTATTACCTTTCCCTCAATTTAATTACATTAGATGTTCCAAGATTTTAAGTTATAAAAGGAATTACAAACTGTGTAGTAAATAGAATATAAACATCTTCTTCCTGGTTTTAATTTCCTTTTTGGTTTCTAGCAGCCAAAGTAAATGCTTTGAAGGTGCACGGAGATTTAAAAGAAATACTCTGGAATTATGCTGTGTACTCTAAAGAAGATTAGGATATTAAATACTTATGTGCTAAAGGTTGTAAGACTTCTGTTGAGGCTTTTTGTAATTTGATAGCCTGCTTGACTTTGGGAATCAGGGAAACTTGCATGCAAGTTACTTTTCTTACCTGTAGATCTATCTATTTTTCTTATACTTAAATTACTTTTCTCCTTCTAGGTGTGATGTCTATAAACTGAAATTTGAAGGAAAGACTTTTTATGTGTTTGGAGCTCATAAGGAGGTCAGGTTTATTATTTTTACAGAACTTCTGTATTTTATTTAGAATCAACTAAAATATATTCTTTAAATAAACTTTAAACAATAATTGTACTTCATATTGTAACTAGAATAGTGAGTATGAGTGAATTTGAATATTGCTGTTGTCAAAAGATTGCTGAATTTGCAAAGAGTTGAGACATTTCTAACAACATTCATGCAGTGCTGTGCTGATTGCTCATGGTTTTGGTCATCTGTGTGGTCAAATTTTAGTGGATTTTAAAGCACTAAACTAAAGCATGAGTGACATCTGTATATGTTTGAAAATTCAGGTCGGTGTTGATAACCTGGATCAGTGTGAGGTATTTTTGGCTAATTATGGTAATCTCAAATCTCGGTCAGCAGATTAGGCTAGAGTCTGTCCTAGATAGTTGGGCTTTTGCCATTGAGATCATAGAGATTTTTGCCTATAGCATGCTATAATCAATTTTTTCCCTAGGGCAGAGTGACAGCTAAAGATTATGAGTTTGGATACAGTCTAGGTGAGGAAGAAGAAATGGAGGAAAGAAATAATGCCAGAGGTATCAGAGGCTGTTTGTGTGGTTGCAAGGAGGATTTAATGATAGGACATAGGAGAAAGGGGGAAGTGGATGGTAAGTAGTACAGCAGCTACGCAATGTGGAATATAGAACATAGAGACTTGCCTTCTGATTTTGGCCTGAATACAATTGGTACAGGTTTGTTCTACAAACCACTTGTACATATGCTCTTCTCTGCCTGCTTCAAGCATCCTGTTTTATTTCTGAAACAATTGCCTGGGCAGTTTAAATATCAGCTACATATGGGTTGTAATTCTGTGGGTGAACCACAGACTAAAGCTACACAGGAAAACTTTGTGTTCAGTGTATCCGGTTCATGGTGATGCTGTCAGGTACAGCTACTTCAATCTTTGAGAATTCAATATTTTCATTACTTTCATTTGTCTTCTTTTCCATACACTTAGAAAAAAGCTGTTCTTTCATTCCATACCTCTACACCAGCAGCCTGCAAGCATCTTTGGAAATGTGGAGTGGAGAACCAGGCTTTTTACAAGTATGTAAACCTGATGTCGTTATCTATACTTAAAGTGAAAAAATATGCATGCTAGTAAAGATTGTTCAATATGAAATGTTCCATTTCATTAACAGAATTCAAAATGCAAACAGAAAATTTGCAAGTTAGTGGGGAATATTACTTCATTATAAGCTGGTATTATAAATTGTTTAAAATTTGAATGAGACAGAAGGATTTTGTCAGTGAATAATTATACTTCTTCAAGCACACTTTTTTGCTGCTCTCTAATGTGACATTGGATGGACACAGTACTGCACTTGTGTCTGGAAACATAGTTGTTAATCTTAGTTCTGCTGTTGAATCCCTTGAGAATGGAGGAAGCAATCTGTTATGCTTGATTCTCTGGGCTATTCTGCTGGTAGGTAATATTTTCTGTTCCCTAAAAAATAAGCTGAAAATAGTTTCTCATTAAAAAGCTTTTACGCATTCTTTCTGCCCTCCATTGACTTTGTTAGATCTGTTTATTGATGCTTCCCTTTAGGCATATAGCTTTTATATTTTGCTACTTAGCCTCTCCTTACAGCATCTTGCATATTTTATAAAAAATACTGTTTCTGTGTTGGAGTATAGCAGCACCAGGAGACTGCTGTAACGGTAAATAATAACTAAGTGGGAAGAATATATCTTCTAACATAGATGTTAATGACCTGCTTTATTTTGGAGAAGATTCCTTCTTTCATTTCAACACTGATACAATATTATATCAATATAATCTATTCAATTGATATATTCAATGAAGAAACATGAAATATGAACTGGAATAATACAGCTGTTAATTCTCAATGTTAACATCTACTGTGTTTGAGAATGAATTAATAAAAATATTTTCAGGAAGTGTTTTTTGTTGGAAGTAAATGTAAGTAGGAAGATAATCCATGGTGTTTGAGTGGTTGTATTTTGTGTCAGTATAAATAAATAGGGAATAGGAAACAATTCCCACCTAAAGGATCAAAATTAGTGCTTGAACTAAAGATGTCTGAGGGAAACTCACAGAAATATCTCTCTGCTCTTATTGTTAAATGGTTGTAGAATTAACTGTTAGGGCTTTGGTCACAAGTACATGATCGTGGTGGATTTGGCCTTGACTAAGTGCCAGATGCCCACCCAGATTCTCTGTCACTCCTTCTTCTCAACAGGTTGAGGGGAGAAAATAAGACCAAAAAGCTCATGGGTTGGGGTAAAGAGAGAAAGACTGCTTACCAGTTACTGTCATGGGCAAAACAGGCTTGTTTTGGGGAAGGCCAATTTAGTTTTGTTTCTCACCTTCTTACTCTATTTAAAGTGTCAATAAAGACAAAACTAAAAACACCCCTCTCCTCTTTCTTCCCAGGCTCAACTTCACTCCTTGATTCCTGACTCCTCTATGTCCTCCTTGCCCCTGACAGCACAGGGAGATTGTGAATGGTGTTGCAGTCAGTTCACAGCAGTTTCTCTCTGCTGCTCCTTACACTTTTCCCCCTGCTCCAGTGTCCTTCATGAACTGCTCCAGTATGGGTCTTTCCCATGGTCTGCAGTTCTTCAGAATAAATTGTAGAATCACAGATTCATTACGGTTGGAAAAGACCTCTAAGATCATCAAGCCCAACCATCAACCCAACACCACCATGTCCACTAAATCATGTCCTGAGGTGCCACTTCTACATTTTTTTTAACACCTCCATGGATGATGACTCCACCACTTTCCTGGGTAGCCTGTTCCAATGCTTGACGACTCTTTCAGTAAAGAAATGTTTCCTAATATCCAGTCTAAACCTTCTGTGGTGCAACTTGAGGCCATTTCTTCTCATCCTATTGCTAGTTACTTGGAAGAAGAGACTTAATCCCACCTTACTACAACCTCCTTTCAGGTAGTTATAGAGAGCCATAAGGTCTCCGCTCTGACTCCTCCAGACTATAACCTGCTGCAGCCTGGGTTTCCTCTCCATGGGCCACAACTCCTGCCAAGAGCCAGCTTCTGTGTGGGCTCTCCACAGGCTGCAGCTTCCCTGAAAGCACGTCGACCTGCTGTTGTGTAGGGTCCTTCACAGGTCACAGTGTGGGTATCTGCTCTGGCATGGTCTTCCATGGGCTGCAGAAGTACAGTCTGCTTCCCTATGATGGTCGCCATGCGCTGCAGGGTAGTCTCTGTTTTGCCACCTGGAGTACCTCCTCTGCCTCTTTCTTCTCTGCCCTTGGTGTCTGCAGGTCTGCTTCTCTCATTTTTTCCTACTTTCCAGATGTCTTCAGGCACTACTCTGGGGTTATTTCTTTAGTGTGTTTTCTTAAAATTATGCTTTCCTGTTTCAGTTTTCATGGGTCTTGAAAGAGGACTTTAGTAAAATGAAGATTGGTAGTGTTATTCAATGGAGAGGATCATGGCTGATAGGTTGGAGAAGAGTAATGGTTAATATGCAGAGTGCAGAAAAATAAAACCAATCCTCCAATCATGAAGCTGAAGCCAAAGAAATCTGTAAACAAAGGCATAGGGTAGCAGTTTTGAAACAGCAAAAGTTTTCATACATTTCAGAGAAACTGAGCTGTGCAACATGGACTGTTAGTTACTTAGAAGCATTAGATAAATTCTCTCTGTTGGTGTTTATGATTTGTATGTTATCAACAAGGTATTTTAATAAGATTAGAACAGACGTAGCTAGGTTGTGTAAGTAATTCATGATAATGACATTTCATCTTAATTAGATTTGGTCCACTCCTCTGCTTGGAAGAGCTTGAGACTTGGAATTTAAGATAAGGTCATGATTGCTTGGCGTGTCTTGAAAAACACAGCTTTAGTTCTGCCTCGATACAGGCTCAGGGTTGACTGTTGTGATTATTTTCAAGTAGATACTGGAAGTGTTCAAGGCCAGGTTGGATGGGACTTCTGAGCAACCTAGTCTAGCGGGAGGTGTCCCTGCCCATGGCAGGGGGGTTGGAACTGGATGATATTTAAGATCCCTTCCAACCCAAACTATTTTATGATTCTATGTTATATATCATAAAAGATTGTCTGCTAGGGTCTGTGAATGAGATACTCGATATAGAGCAGGATCCTCTAGACTAGGTCTTCCCTTCTTCCTGCATTCCTAGAGATGCACCAAGTGTCTGCATTTAATTTTCTTGCTTTCCTATCTAGGTAATTACTTGGTTTATGTTCAGTTGGTTTGTTCTGTCTGTGTGCTTATGTTCTTATGTGCACTTTTGATTCTAATTGTGTTACAACCTTAAAAAATTTGGAAAGCCAGATTATTGAATGTAACTTTGTGGTATAAAAGTAACAAAGCTTGTAGGCTTCCTTGTTCATTTTTGCTTATCAGGTTCCATCTGTGCTGAAAATGTGACATCTGTTCTTTTTCTTCAAGGTATGCAAAATCCAGTCAGATCAAGACCATGTCCAGCAGCAAGATATTTTTTAAAGGCAGTAGGTTTCGATATAGGTGGGTGTTTGCTTCTTTTTCATGGTAAACCATTTCTGAAAGTGAAAGAAAACATCAGTAATTACTCATGGCAAATTGAGGGCTTTTCTTTGTTAAGGACCTGTTCACTCCAAAATCAGGTCAAGATTTGAAACATTTCTGTTATGTCGTTAGAGTCACTTATAAAATAAACTGGAGTTTTCATGCAGATTTCTGTTAAACAGCAGTTTCACCAGAACGGGGCTCCACTTTTAGTGTGGTTTCTGTAAAAACAAGGATACGTGGCCAGTGCAGAGATTGTCTGCCCTGATTGAGCAGCTCTGGACCAGGGGTGCGTTAGTGGTACAGTCCATTCCTACTCCTAGTGTTCTACTACAAAAGGTTGCTTTTTCTTCGCTAGTTTTGCAAACAAGTGGTCAGCAGAACTTTTAATGTGGGACTTCATATATCCACTACATGGGAATTTTGTTTTGCCTTTTCCTTTTCTGCTTTTGAATCTAACTTAGTTGTTCATGTATGTAGAGCGCTTGATATGTAACGAGCTCATCTTAATATTTGCTTGAATATTTATTTTGTGTTTCAATGCAGTGGAAAAGTAGCCAAAGAGGTTGTGGAGGCAAGCTCTAAAATCCAGAGGGAACCTCCTGAAGTTCACAGGTATGTCTTGACATTCAATATTAAAGTTTAAGTATTATTGTTCTCTTCAGAGAAATTCTCTTTCATTTACTGTGAGATGTAGCGGCTGTTGTTCTAAGCTTCCACAATGAGGCACGCAAGCCTTGTGATGTTACAAAATTCTGACAATATTGTCTACTACATTAGAGAACTTAATCTGTGCTGCTTTGAAGCTGGGTTTAATCAGTCAGATAAGTGGCTTATGTTATTCCCTGTATCATGACATAGACTGTTATTACATGATCTTGACAAAAAGGTATATGCTCATTTAATTTCTTGCCCAGTTTTGAAAGATTCTGTTTTGTGTATGTATATGGGTATGTTTAAAAGTATACTTGGTAGTTTTCTCACAATGCAGTCAGATTAATGAGCAAGATGTTCATTCAGTAAGGAGAAAAAAGATCAGAGGATCTTTCTTTCAGAGAAAAAAGATTTGGCTTCTTAGAAATAAGTAGTGACAGTGAAAATTGATAGCATCCTAGTTAAAGTCCTTCAGAAGAGAAGAAAGTGTCCGGCAGGAAAAAGCTATTTAAAAACTTTTTAAAAAGATTATTTAACTTTCTGAACATTCTGGAGCCATATCCCTATTTCCATTGTGATTTTTTTTTCAAGGGTGGGGGTTTGTGTGTTTGGTATATTTTTAATTTAATCTGACTATTTCATCTATATTTTAGAGAAGAGTGGGCTATCTTTACTAAAGGATAGGAATATATTTGCAGCAAATATGTATAAATATGTTGTCCAGCCCTACTATATAATTAATAGTAAGGCTATGCAGGCAGGCTTTTGTACATGGTTTTGCAAATTACATTTAAAAATGAGGTAAGTGATGGTCTAGAATGCGTTAACTGAGAACACAGAAGGCAAAAAACGAGTCCATCATTGAGGCAAGGTAGATTACTTGGGCATTTGAAAATGCATTTGAAATTAAAATAGATACATTACTTTCCATAGGCTTTCTTGTTTTCCATAGGATAAGAGAAAAGATTTTCACATGAAATTATTTTTTATCTTGTATTTTACTTTGTTTTCAGTATTTTAAGCATTTTAAACATATTGTTGAAAACTCTTAGTGTACATAAAGAAACAGATCAGAGAGCAAGTAAGTTTACAAAGCAATGTCATATGGATTTAATGCCCATAAATAGTAATGTATATTTTTTATGATTAATCTTCTTAAAATGCTTTCATTTACAATATTATGGTAGCTCCATGTTCAGTTTCTTAGAAAGAAAAAGTCTGATAATGTCAAGTGTTTTTATAGTGCAGATTTTGAAATGAGAGATAGAGGTAGATAGCTTGTCCTTCTAATAGCACAAGTAGGCAAAAAGCATAGAAAATTTTCAATTTGAAAAAAGCGGGCTTTAGAAACAAGTCACTCTGTGAAAGAGGATTTGGCAATATGAAATGATTTTTCAGATGCAAAACATTTAGAGGAAGTGATATAACTGAAGGTAAATATATATACATATATTTGTATACATATATGTAAAGTTTTCTCTCCCTGCACTGCCTCCCCCAAAGTCAATTCAGTGGTACCATGGATGCATTGAGAAAGAAACATGCAATTGTGAGGAGGTTACTGTTCAGCATATTTATGATTGGATATTACGCTTAAAGCACTACAGACTGAAAATATATTGGAGTGTATCGTGTAGTGTTAATGTGGTGGCAAGTTATTCTGACAAATGCACACTGAGTTGTTTAATATTTTGCTTCCAGGACATGCTTGAATGAGGGATCTTTGTAAATAAGTATGGAGTAGGAGCCTTATGAGTACCCCCAGGCACAACTCCTATTTTGGGAGTTGCTTGATTGGTCTTTACAGCAAGTGGAAAGATCCAGGGGATGCATGAAAAGCCTGTGGAGGTACCATTGGGTTGGAGTGGTTGTAGTTACAGTAAGCTGAGTGAAAAATATCTTTGGATAGTGAAAATTCAAATGAAATAGTTACTAGAGACTGCTCACAGAATGCGGATGAGGATATGAGTAGCTTTGGACATATATTAATGAGCAGGTAATCATGGAAATTGAGCAAGAGAGGTTGTTTATCACCACAGAATATTTAGTAACATTTAATGTGACTTAGAGTATGACATCTGTGTCCAAAGTTTACCTAAATGCCAACACAGTCCCTTCTTTTCACTTGCAATAGGTGCTTTGTTCTTTTTGTTTATCTATGTGGAATTGTAAATTGAGTCTTTGTGCAAACTTAAAATGCATTTTGTGAAACTTCAGCACTGTACCTAAGTACCATTTGAAGTCAAGTAGAATCCTCTTCTCTTTGATCTTTACTTCTGTCAAAAGTATATATTTTATAATGTAATGATTCAGATTTATTGCAGGACTCTTGCTTCAGGCCTGCATTATGTAAGTCCTAGGTAACTTATTCTAAAGAGCCATTTTATATTCTCAGTAAAGTGATTTTAGACTAATGAGCCTCATGACTGAGGTGAATCAACAGCATTCCTCAAACTTTCCTGAGAAAGCTCAGCACCTGCTACCAGGAAGGCCTGTTGGAGCCAAGTAAGACAAGAAAGAAAACCAGCCTAAGCACCTGGAGATGTTGTGTAGAGGCAATGTCTGGAGTGTATGAGAATGAGAGCGCTGTGCAGGGATGCAGTTGTTCCTGCATTAGTCTTTAGTCTACAGTGTTCAAACCATAACAAATCCTTTACCCAGTCCTGGAAGACATAGAGCAACATCAGGAAAATTATTTGTATCTTTTCTGCCTTCCCCTTTCTTGAAGCCAAATACTGATGTGTGCTGTACAGTGTGGAGAGGAGCAGCACACTAAAACCCTGCATGAGATGAAAAGGAGTCAGACTGTGTAAATAGAAGTAAAGCAGCACCAAACTGCTGAGTGTGCAACATAACATGGCTGAAAGCAGTGTTCAGTGTGCAGAGCTTGTTATGATAGCTCAAGGCCTAGTGTAATGTATGCAAAATGATTCTTAGATGAGGCATATTGTACTGTAGTTGCTTCCTTGTGAATAAACTGACCCTGTTTTCCCTGTTCTTTTAGAACCAGTGTTACCCAGAGTCGCAGCTCTCCCTCCTTGAACAAGCAACTCATAATCAATATGGAACCTCTACAACCCCTCATTCCTTCTCCCTGTGAGGAGGAAGAGATTCCTTTAGATGAAGGTGAGTCACTTAGCTGATTTCTGACAAACGCTACCAATAATTATTATAAAACATGTGGAAAAAGGTGTGTTACTGACTCAAGGATGTGGGAAAAATCTAATTATTTCCATTAAGAGTAGTACACCATAAAGCCACTGCACATCACATTGAGAAATTATCACTAGCTCAAGTAACTGTGCACAAGCCTCGTGCAAGATATATAATGAGAAAAGTTACTGCTGTTAAGCTTTCTGTTCCAAAAATCTTTTTTTTTTAGATTATCCAGTAAGAGGAATTTAACAGGAAATAAATAATCTCAACATAGCACCATTTTACTAAATAGCAAGTGCAGTTACTCAGGAGTGAAAACTGACAGTTTACTGCAAGGTATGGTTTTTTCCTTGCTTCCCTTTACTTTTGTATTTCTTTCTTTTTCTTCTAATGTTAGGAAAAACTCTCTACTAATTTAATTCAACTGACAGAAGAGGATGTTATTTGAAGGTCAACTAGGAAAGATTCTCTACTAATTTAATCCCATTGACTAAAAGGGATGTTGTTGGAAGATCAGTTTGAATGCATTTTGTACAAAAAGCTTTTCCATGTATTTGTTCATTCCTCGATATTTAAAAAAAATCACATTCAACACCTATTTTTTTGAAATGCAGTCATTACAAAGAATGGTGTGAACATCTTAGCCAGCTTAAATGCTTCCTAAATGAAAAATGAAGACAACCAAAAAAAGCCTGACGGTGGTTCTTACTTGAGATACAGTGAGCTAATTGTTTCAGAAGTTGAGAAATACGAGCTCTGCTGTTGGTTTCTTGTGATCAATTAATGAGAGACAGAAAACAGCTGAGCAAGTATGTTCATTTTCATGGGAGTACTGCCTAATTTCCTTTTAAAGGAATCATATGAATTTGTTTTGTTCATTCTTTGGAGTTTCCACATTGAATATAGTAAGAGCAGGGTGAATTAGATTGTCTGTGTACTTACCTTATTATAATTCGTTGTAGTGGCTGCATGACATGTAGTTAATTTTAACAATTACTTGTTTACCTCTGCTGTGAAATACCTGTATATGAGAATTCACTTTCTGGCAGCCTGGTACCAACACTGTGTTCCTGCTGGGCAGTTGCCATCACTACAGAGTAACTGTGGCTTGCTGCTTGTAAGACCGCTGCGCCACGATGACAACTCTAAGCAATGCAGTCCATTTTTGGAAACTGCTGACTTATCATTGCTATATGCTCACCAGGGAGTGCCGTTTTCAAATGTATGTATTACATAAGTTTGAAGGTCATGTTTCCTTTTAGTCAGACAGATTGTTGTTACTACTATGATTTAATAAAAATATTTACTGGTGGCTTTCCTGTAGAATATTATGCACAGTTAAATACCACCAGCTGCTAAATTAATAGTATTTAGCTCTTTTACAGTGTTTTCCTGCAGCAAATTTAGCTATATTATCAAATTGCAGCTTGAATTGACCTCACAGCTGTTTGATACTGATGCTGGCTCTCTTCTCCACATGCACTCAGGCAATTTCTGTGGATTTCCATCTTCTCCCTTGCACCAGCACTAATCATCCCAGAATGAACTGGGAGGAGAAGCTAAAAAAAAACAACAAACAAACCCAAAGCAACCAAAACTTAAAAAAAACCCCCACCCAACAAACAATCAACAACACCCTAACTGTACAGTGTCCCACTGCTGCCTGGCTCAGCCTTCTTAGTGGCTCATCAGAGAGGGTCAGGCAAGGTCCTGTGCGAAGGTGAGGACAGGAGCATGAGGTGAGGAGAGGAGAGGCAGCTAGCCCTGAGACTGACTCAACTGCATTGGTAAAGTGGTTTTAGTGTACTACACATGTGAAACAGCCTTGGCATCTCTCTAAACATCTAGACCTGAGGTAGGGGTGGATACCCTGGGGTGCTTTCCAGAGAGCCTGCAGATGCTGTTAAGAGCATGATGCAGCCCTGCCTCGGTCAGATGTCCCTTGGCTGTGTGAATTGGCTAATGCAGCTTCCAGGACCTGTGCTTGTATTTCTGCAAGATGTTCCAGCAGATGTTCCAGCTTCTGATGGATGAGACTTCACATAGTGCTGAACTGTGCTGTGTAGATGGGCTCAAGCAACTTGTTAGCAGAGCTGACTGTAGTGCTGCTGTGAGCTGTGTGTACTTTGGGCAGACTCAGGAAAGTGCACAGCTTTGTCTTTTAACTGAGCAAAATATACTTGTTAATTGTCTTTATATATTATGAGCAAAGCACATGGCCAAAAATATGGTGACCTCAGTGTCTTGAGTAAACACTTCTGCCTCCTGAAACTTCTGGAGAGATGAACTCTCAGTTGGCTGAGCCTGGGCGGTATGAAACTGAGCTAACAGAAACTGCCAGGTGAGAGGAAAGATTTTGTGCCAATTACTTGATAGTTGCTAGGGGATAAAACCATCGGAGATGGTGATAAGAGAATCTGCAGGGGCTTTTGAGCAGCTTCAGCCTGCCTTGCTGTTAGGATAATCCTTTCAGATGGAAAATAAACATGATACAGCAAAATACTGAAAAACAACTAAAGCCCAATCATTCTCCCATAAGAAATTCCATCTTATGCATCTGCTCTGGCTATCATGGTGAAGTGAAGCTTTCCTTCAAAAAAGCACACATTGTCCAGTGGTTTTGCAGATGTGTGAGAAAGGGTATGCTGACTATACATGGCCATAAATGACCATTGTATGTGGGAAGAAAGATACTGGATGCTCAAGATATCACTGTAATTGTTACTTTAGCAGTTGACACTTATGCAAGAGGATTTGGAAGCCAATAATGGCATTACATTTTTTATTAGAGGAGCAGGCAAAAATATCCTGAGTTTGTCTGTTGGTGTCTCATTCTTCAAGAGGCAATTCTTCAGTCTGCACTTAGAGACCATATGCAGGTGTCCAATTACTAATTTAAGCACCTAGATTTGAATTGGTATTCTTACTTAAATGTAGTATTATTGCTATTTTAAATGATAGTTATATAACTCACTTACCTAAGAGATGGGTCACCAGCCAATACATATTTTATCAAATTAAAAAGCTAATCTCAAATCCTAATGCCTTATGATTTGCAGGTCATCTCTCAGTGCTTTGTTGCTACTGCTTCAGATTCTTCAGGCTTTCATATTTGCTGTTACTGCTCTTGTCTCTAATGTCATTTCTGTCTTAGGAGGAGGAAAGAGACTTGACAGTGAAAAAGTGCAACCTTTACTGCTGTGCATATAATTTTATCACATTGAATTATATTTTACATGTATGAGTGTCAGATATGCTTGGAGAGATAATTACTGCCTTTTAAACCTGAAAGATGTTATTTGAAAGGCTCCTAGCTACAAAAGTTTTAAGTGTATCTAGAGGTGTGATTGCAAAATTCATCTTTGTCAGACAGCCAAATTAAGTCCTTCTGAGTCGTCTTATTAGGTCCTTTCAATGGCCCTTGCTTCATGTGCAGCTGAACAGGTTACATTTATTTTGGTAATGCTGTAGGAATTTTATAGCTGCCTTTCACCATCTGTTTTGGTGAGACAGATTATTGTCTGTCCTGATGACTTGGCAATTATTTTGCAGGTGGTAGATCATTGTCTTTAGATTTTCCAGCTATTAGTGCTTCAAAAATTTGAGTAGTCCAATTCAAAAAAAAAAGGCAAACCCCTTCCTCTGAGTCACAGGATATTAATGTGGTTTCAACAAAGTGATGAAAACTTTTTTTAAGTCACTAGATACTTGTGTGCTCAGGTTTCATAATTATTTTAAAATATTTTAATTACTTTAAAATATTTTAATTACTTTATCATAGGACCATGTATTGGGTTGGAGGGGACCTTTAAAGATCACACAGTCCAACCCTCCTGCAGTACGCAGGGACAATATTACCAGATCAGGTTGCTCAGAGCCCCATTAAGCCTGACCTTGAATATCTCCCGGAATGGGGCCTCCACCACCTCTCTGGGCAACCTGTTCCAGTGATCTACCACCCTCATATTGAAGAACTTTTTCTTAATATCCAACCTAAATCTACCCTTTTCCAGTTTAAAACCATTACCTCTCACCCTTTTGCTACCTGCCCTAGTGAACAATTCTTCCCCAGATATCTTATAGGCACCTTTCAGATAATGGAAGGTTGCTATAAGGTCCCCCTAAAGCCTTCTCTTCTCCAGGCTGAACAGCCCCAACTCTCTCAGCCTGTCTTTGCAGGATAGGTGCTCCAGCCTTCTGATCATTTTCCTGTCCTCTTCCTGGACCTGCTCCATCACTTCAATGTCCTTTTTGTGTTGGGTGCTCCACAGCTGGATGCAGTACTCCAGATGAGGTCTCAACAGAGCAGAGTAGAGGGGCAGAATCACCTCCCTCAATCTGCTGGCCACACTTCTTTTGATGCAGTCCAGGATGCAGTTGGCCTTCTGGGCTGCAGATGCACATTGGTGGCATCACCAGTACCCCCAGATCTTTTCCCTCAGGGCTGCTTTCCAGCACATCATCTCTCAGCCTGTATTGGTTACCAGGATTGTTCCGACCCAGGTGCAGGAGCCTGCACTTGGCCTTGTTGAACCTCATGTGGTTCACCTGAGCTCACTTCTCCAGCTTGTCCAGCTCCCTCTGGATGGCATCCCTTCCCTCTGGCACATTAACCTCACCACCCAGCTTGGTATTGTCAGCGAACTTGCTGAGGGTGCACTCAATCCCACTGTCAGTATCATTAATGAAGATATTAAACATCATTGGTCCCTTGAGGGACACCACTTGTCACCATCTTCCGTCTGGACATTGAGCCATTGACCGCTACTCTCTGGATGCGACCACCCAGCCAATTCCTTATCCACTGAACAGTCCACCCATCAAATTCATACCTCTCCAACTTAGAGAGTCCTGGTCAGCTCTGCAGGAGAGAAGCAGGTTTCTTGACTGAAAAATCTTTGCTGAAGAAGGTCTTCCAAGCATTTACGCAGGACATGTTGCTGATGTCAGCTCATGCAAAGCCTTCTTTCTCTCATATTACAGAGCCTGTTCCTTACTTGATGAAAGTTAGGAGTAGGGACAGAGTTGCTGACTCGGCTACAAAATTTCAGCTTAAACTCCTCGTAGTTTTGTATGGATGGTGACTCTTGTGTCCTCAATTAGGCTTTCCCTTGCATATTGAACATGTTGGCGGTTAGACTTCTGTAAGAATTGGTGATTTCCAGGTTTTGTAGCTATGTACTTACATTGAACCCTTTTTAGTGAGATTTTAATCATCCTCTTTTTGTTGCTACAACAGTCATGGGAATAATAAAGATGAGAAAAACAGACAGAATCTTACTTTTGAAATGGTGACAAAATGGAGATAGAAAGCAAAGGGACACTTTCTTTCCTCAGACTCACAAGGAAGTGCTTGCAGAGAAGGAAGGGAAGGGAGGAGTGTTTGCCCTGCAGGAGGAAGGAGTAAAAAGGAGCACTGCTGGATATTCATCCTATATGGGCCAGACAAGGGAAGGGAGTCACTGTAAAGATGTTTTCCCAGAACTTCATTAAAGCAGATGTCTTTCATGACAGAAAATCACTTTTTGTGAAATTTGCAGGACTCTGTGCCCTGCCCCCTCCTTTCCCCTCATAGTGACATGCATATAATTGATTTTATGGTGCAGAGGGAACAAGGGCATCAGATAACGAAGACTCAGATGTCACAGCATGTTGTAAATATTAAAGGTAAGTATTCTGCAAAGTAAGAGACTACCTCCCCCCAGGTACAGTTCCAACAGTTTATCTCCTCTCTGTGATTTCAGTGGGCCCAGTAGGAGCTCCTTTCCTACTAGGACAGGGTGATGCTGGTTGCATTCCAGCTTCCAGTTGGAGCAAGTTATCAGCAGTCAGCATATGTGCATCATACCTTTTTTAGGAGCCTGCATATCTCTGCTGGATGGAGACAGGGATGTGCCCAGCCTTCTGAAGCAAAACTTCTTTCTAGCGGGTACAAATGTGTCCAATAGTTGTCTGCAAGTGGGAACTGGAGCACATATGCAGAGAGAGACTTTTTTCCCAGACTTAGGAATACTCTTTTCTTTATACATGGGCAGGTCAGCTTAGATTCTAGACTTGAAATGAAGGTATTTTCATATCATTGTTTTGCTTTGTGGCTAAGGTTTGTAAATACAGCATAGGATTTTTCCTTTTGTAGCTATACATTTTCTGCAGATACTTCCCAGGCAGTGGTGGGGAACTAGACATCAGTGGCCAAATTTAAGCTCTTTAGAAAACTAATGGCCACACCGTCATTTTGTTCTTTGAAAAACAGGCACTAGATGCTGTCCTCTTGTTTCACTGCACTGTGTTTTGATGCCTTGGATATCTCTATGTTTGTGTGTGTGGTTCAGCTGTTATGCTAGCAACTGTTAACTGAGATGGATGCTCTGGAAATTTGTATTGTATGTTATGAGGCATTTGGAAATGTTTAAAAATAACTTCTCATTCTGTTCCCTACTGGGATATTTTTGTTGGCCATGTTAGAAGCTTGTCATTTGATTCATTGAGAGTGACTTGTGTTAGTCTCTTAAAACTCAGTGAGAACTCAGTAAAGGTCAAAACTGGTATGAGTAGAGCCTTTACAAGACTTTGAGAAGGGGAATTAATAGTCAAAATGGTGAAATGTCTTGTAAAAATCCAAACGAAGAGAAGCATTCATTTGCGGATGGTTAACCACTGCAACAAGGAAGTGTGCGTTCGATTACTGCGGCATGGCTCCAAGATCACAGCCAGAAGGGCTGGTAAATTTATATTTATTTTACTCAAACCGTCTCACTCTCACCCAGTTTGTTATGCTAATAGTGTCCTTTTGCAAAGGTACTGTATTGTGAATGACAATGTTACATCAAATACAGCAGAGAATAAGTATGACAGGAGCAGAGTTCCAAATGGGAAATGAATGAGGTGAAGTTGAAATGACATTTGTTACAGTATCTTATGTATATTGTGGATTTATTTGTTAATTGCTAACAAATGATTAACTGGAATTTTGCCCTTGTAGTTTTCTTGGACTGAGGAGGAGCAATACTTTGAAACTCTGATGACTTCTGGCAGAACTGGTTCCTAAAGTAGCAGATAGGTTGGTAGCAGATTTTTAATGTCAGCTGAATACAGTAGTGCATACAGTTTAGTGTTTTACTATGACTGAGTGGGTTGGGTGGCCAGATCATAACTGCATTGTTTTTATTTTTCTAAATATTGAATAATCTAATATACTAAATAATAGTACTGGGGAGTGGGGTGGGTAGAGAAAGTAGTCTGATTAGGTTCTCTTTTTCACTGTACACAAGTGCAACCCAAGAAACAGAAAGTATTCAATATTGCTTTGGGTAGCAAACTAAACAAAGGTTTTCTTTTTTTCCTTTTTTTCTTTTTTTAAATATAAAATCCCTTTGCCAAAGATGGATTGGCCTCTCTATCAATCTACATGTTTCTGTTCCCTTAATGAAGTACATCTGTCAGTAAATTTCAAAATTTGTTTCTCCATGCTTTCTCTGGTACAGTTCACTTTTGAGATTTTTGCATATAGAGGCTGATAGATACATAAAACCGTGCCTTTGTATTGAATCTTCATTTCAGAAATGAGTATTTACAGAATAATTAACTGAGACTATTCTCATACTTTTGGCATCTGAAAATCAGAAAGCAGTAATCACAGCAGATATGGGAGAGCCAGCTTCTTGCACTGATTTGTCTTTGAGTAGCAGCAGCTCCTGGTTGCCTTTCCTTCATGAATTGACTACTCAGGGGATACTATAGTGTCTATGAGAATGCATCTAACACCCTTGATTCGAAAATAGGTAGCAAAACTGAAAATGTATTAATATTTACATGTATTTTCTATTTTTACACCTCAGAGGTTAAATGCTGGCTCCAAGTAGATACAAGCCATCTTGTTGCTTTAACATAACACCAGTCTAGTAACAGATTTGTATATTGACGCATAAATCATGTATATCTGCACATAAAACTTGTGTATCAGCATATGAAACCCTAAGCCTGGAGTTTGCTTGTGCAAAATTCATGGCAGGGGCATAACTCCTTGGGAGAATCCTGTTGCAATTACGACCACTTCAGAACAATACTGATTCATGCTGGGAGGGCTCAGTCAAGCCAAGCGGGGATGCTGAAACATCCCACTTGTCCTTTTCTCAGATGCTAAGCTTTCACATCAGTGCCCAGCTCTTTTCAGGCTTGCTTTCTTTGGCCTGGTGGTAGACACTGAGTTGCTGCAGTCTCTTCACCGCCTCCTCTCCTTTCTCCAAACTGCTAACAGATGTATCTTACCGTCTCATTCCTGCCCCCATGACACACAGTTCTCTGTCCCAGCTGCTCCCCTCAGCCTTTCTGCTGCTTAATCCTGGTTCTGGAAGGGGGTCAGCAGTACTGGGGTGGGCTCCTTCATGGGAGCATCCCAGAGGCATCCCAGAACACCCTCTGGGATGCATGTGCTGTTTTTCTCCCGTCTCTTGAGTTTTGAATGCCCTTTGCAGGGTATGAAAAACAAGACGATGGTCTCCAGTGGCTGCACTAGCTGTGGCATTGTTATAATCACAAGAAAATTCTGGCCGATTGAAGTAGGTATTTGTTTCAGCAGTAGAGCTAAAAAAGCACTTTGACCGATCAAGGTAATTAAAGTGGGTTGATGATTATGTAGTTAGAACAGGTATTTGTTTAAACTACAGTTAAAAAAAAGATTGCAAGAAATATTTGTATAAGCACTTAGAGAAGTCACATACCATGCTCAAGAGAGGAATTAGACAATAGCATGAGGGATAATAGCTGTGGTCAGACCACCATGAGAATAGACCAAAACTTTTTTATGTCAAAATTATAGGGGTAATCCAATGTCTTATGTGGCATGATAGTGGGGAACCAATCAAGGTCACCAGTAAAAGGTGATCATCCTATGCATGCTCGTATGATTTTGCTTTGTTAAAAATGTGTAAATAGGCTGTGAAAATGTATGGGTGTTGGAGCACAATTAGAGGAGCTACCCTCTGTGCCTCCCCAGCGCTGTGAATAAAGAAGTGCCTGCTTATCTGCAGCTGCATAGCTAAGTTTTTTCTCATCGTGATTGCGACCCCGTCAACAGCATCAGTTGCACACCATGGCACACAATGAAGTTGGGGGACAACTTGTAATGCTGCAGGTTCACAGCTCTTGCAACTACCATGAGTTGGCAGCTGTAACAGGGCTTTGCTCCCTTCTAGAAGTTCTTGTAAGACTAAACCAAACTGGAACGGCCAGCAGGAAAGCCAGGTCACTGCCTAAAAAGAAGTTACTACACTCTCAGTGATTTACTATCCTTGCAAAGCTAGAACAGGTGTCTTTTGTGGGCATGGGATGTGGGTAAAGTAGGGATCTATGGCTTCCTACTTCTAAGGGCTGGGCATCTCGCTATGGTGCAGAACCTGCTTTGATGAACATCCTGTGTAGGGGAGTATTTAAGTTTAGTGCAATTCTAGGTTTTAATTTCCATTCCTTCGTTTTCTTTGTGATCTCCAAGCTCTATACTTGTCTGAGAAAGTCACCTTTTCCTTCCCTTTAAAAGTTCATTCTTTTCAAAGTACAAATAAATTATGTCCATATTGAAAATAAGCACAGGAATAGAAAATATTTCTAGAGGAAGAAGTAAAAGGGATAGGAAGGCACTGTCCTAGTTACAGCCTGGCTGGCCTTACTTGTTTACACATCTGCATGAAGTATTCACAGCACTGCTCTTTCTGGACTATGTCTAATTTTTCAATTCTCTGTATAAAAGAAGGAAATCTTCACACTTCTTCCTTTCTCTGCTATACAGAACCTTTTTTTTTCTGGGGTGTTGTATTTCCAGCAACTGCAGCTTCCTAAGAATGGTGGAGCTGGGACTGCCTTCATCCTGCTAATCCTCAGCTGCTGGTTTTGGACCCTTAGAAACACTAGCAGCTGGCATCATTTATGTCTGACCTCTTGCACGTTCATGTTCACAGCAGGTGACCATTCTAAACTCATGTTTTATTCAGCTGTTCATGTTCCTATCTACTGTAGCAATTTAGAGGTTTGGAGCAATCCCAGTATTTGGTGGAAGGGAAATACTGAGTTTTGGCTAGCATAATGAGATATCTCTGACTCTTGCCAGAAAAGTGTAGCAAATTTTTGTTATAGACGTATAAGAAGTAAAATTGAGCTTATTTACTTGGTATTCCAGTAATATGTATTAAAATATTCTGATCTACAGAATGTAAATTGCTGGTAAAAATATAAAATCAAGAATAGAAGGAAGAAGTTATTTTCAAATGTAATTTAATACTTAAGTCATAGTCCTTTAAATCTAAATGCAATATAAATTGTAAATATTACTAAAGAAACAGGAGAGTTTTCAAAATATAGCCCCCAAAATTATACAGAATTATGGCCTTTATAAGCGTAGCAGCAAAATAATTGTTAGGCATGAATAGAAGCAAAGGTTTTGCAGCAGTGTTATAGGGTAATTAAAGATACTGGCTTTGGTCTTGCTTTAGCTTTTACATTCTCTTTTTCCATTGGAACACTTTAAGTAATTTTTTTCTTTCCACCTGGTTCTGTTACTTCAGATAACTGACTCTCTTGAAGTCTATCCAAAAAGTAAATAATCTGAAAAACTTGCTCCTTTCTTAAATTTGTGTTACTGGAATATTTGTTGTACTGTAGAGTGACTTTGAATT